TAGATAAATTGTGTATTTAGGCGTTACCCAAAGATAAACTTAGATGCATAATTGATAATAGTTGGCTGTCTAAATATATTAAGTTTATTCAAAAGCATAAATGTTTAAGCATGTATTAAGTATTTTAGTCCCTATGAATACGTATGGCATGAGCAATGGCGTAGTCAAGTTCAATGGGCTCAATTATGATGATTAGGCTGAACAAGTTCGATTTTAGCTAGGTGTTATGGACTTAGACCTAGCAATCATTATGGAACAAGAGCCTACAGCCATCATAGAGACCAGTATTAAAGAGTAAAAGACTCTTCGTGAAGTTTGAGAAAGGTCGAACAAGCTGAGCTTAAGCTTGCTGAAAATAACTATGACTGAAAATGTGAAGTCATCGATGCCAAAAACTAAAAATACTAAGGAATTTATGACAAAGGTAAAAGAGTATGCATAATCGAACATTACTGACAAATCGTTTCAGGTACCTTGTTGATTGAGCTGACCACTAAGAAGTTTGATTGGTTACGGTCCATTCATGACCATGTGACTGATATGATCAATCAAGCAGCAAAGTTGAAATTAATGGGCATGGAGGTAAAGGAATTCTTTCTAGTATAGTTCATTTTGAACTCACTCCCTCTTGAGTTTGGTCAATTCCAGGTGAATTACAACACCATTAAGGATAAATGGAACATTCAGGAGATTAAGGCCATGCTGGTCAAGGAGAAACGGAGGCTAAATAAGGTGAAAGAACACTCCGTCCATCTCACATTTCATGAAGGGGCTAGTAGTAGCAAGGCTAAGTCAGGTAAAAAGGACAAGAAGGATAAGGCCTTATTAAAGGTTCGTGAAGGCCGAATCCAAAAAGGTCAGAGATACTTCTTCTACAAGAAGGTTGGCCACTTCAAGAAAAATTGTCTGAAGAGAAAGGTTTGGTTCGAAAGGAAAGGTATATGTATAATGTTTTAGTATGCTTTGAATCAAATCTTATTGAGGTACCTAAAAACACTTAGTGGTTAGATTTTGGTGCAACTACTCATGTGTCACATGTAATGCAGGGATTTCTTTCAATCTAGCCCATACGCGAAATTGAAAAGTTCTTTTAGATGAGGAACATAATGAAGGCACGGATAGAAGGAATAAGGACTTACAGATTGATCTTGCATACTGGTTGTTGCATAGATCTAGAAAAGTGTCTTTATATTCCTGAATGTGCTAGAAATTTGGTTTCTGTTGCAAAGTTGAACAAATTTAGTTTTAATTTTAAGATTGGAAACGGTACATTCTCTTTGTGTAAACATTCATACTATTTTGGATCTGGTACATTAATTGATTATTTATATTATTTCAATCTTAATGTTAAATTTACTGAATCTTTGTTTCATGTTGAGAATGCTGTTAGTAGTAATTTGAATATGCGTAATGAATACTCTGTTTTCTTGTGGCATCAAATGTTAGGTCACATATCCAAAGAAAGGATGATAAAGTTAATGAAAAGTGAAATTTTACCTCAGTTGAATTTTGTTGACTGGGATGTATGTAAGGAAAACAAACCAAACACACATCAAATAATCCATCCACAAGAAGTAGTCAACTCTTAGAGTTGATACACACTGATATTTGTGGTCCGTTTGACATCTCATGTTGAAGTGGTGAAAGATATTTTATTACCTTTATTGATGACTACTCACGTTATTGTTATCTGTATGTGTTGCATGAAAAATCTTATAGGTGTTCATTAATGAGGTGGAAAGACAACTAGATAGGAAAGTAAAGGTTGTGAGGTCAGATAGAGGTGATGAATATTATAGGAAATCTGATGAAAGTGGACAATGTCCAGGTTCATTTGAGAAACTTCTAGAAAGTCGAGGCATATGTGCACAATATACTATTCATGCTTTGTGGCTGCGAAACTTTGTCTTAGGACTTGGTGTTGTTGATAGTATAGAAAAGCCGCTAAAAATGCACTGTGATAATTCTGCATCTGTCTTCTTCTCTAAGAATGATAAGTATTCAAAGGGAGCAAAACACATGAACTTAAAATACTTATTAGTGAAAGAAGAAGTGCAAAAATGGAAAGTGTCTATTGAGCATATTGGTACTGATTTAATGATAGTAGATCCATTAACTAAGAGATTGCCTCCTTAAATATTTTCTGGCCATGTTTGTAGAATGAGCATTATAGACAAGTCCTTGTTAGCATGATTGTGTGATTTACATATATGATGATAGATTGTTTTGCTCATATTATTGCAGACATTTTAGGGAATTCAATAAAAGTATTGTTTCTGCTTGTTTACTTGTTATCTGAATTGTATTAATGTACATGTATGGTTTGAGTTTGATAACAGGTTGAGTGTTAAAAACACATCAGAGTTACAATCTGTAGTATAACTGATTAAAGTTATTTTGATTTGAGTTGATTCTGTGATACTTGGAAGGAATCATGTCGTTAAATGACTTGTGACTGTCATGATCCGATCAACTTAAATTATTAAAAGATGATGACTTGATATTATCAATAATATGCGCACTTACAGTTCATTGAATCTTCAAGTCATCACATAAGTCAAGTGAGAGATTGTTAGATTATTTTAATAATCTTATTACTGTGGCCTATGTAACTTATAGCATGACTCTAATTAATGATTTAATGTGATGGTGGTTAAATATAAAATATAGAGTCATAGAGGGTATAATTATAAATACAATTATAAGAAAACCCTCCCCTGTCCCTTCAGATAAATAAAATAGCGGTTACCAAATAAGGGTTATGACATTCTTTATTTTCTATGACTTTCACGGTCTCTAAGTGTGCTCATGGTAAACGCAAGAAAAAAACTTTCTCTCAAGCATCAAGAGGAGTTAAAAGAGGAAGGAAGAGTTGGGAAAGATACAAACGGATCAATGACATCAAAGAGAGAGGTAATATCAAGGAATAATAGATTCAGGTTAGTGCTCTCTAAACCCTTAATTGTATGAAAACTATGTATTGTATTGTGAGAATAACGTAATTCAAGATCTAATGAAAAATAATAATTTCATAATAATCATTGCATAATAGATATTATATAATGGATTAAGAAAATTCTAATATTCGAGAGCAAAAATAATAGAAGGATTGCTCTAAGTGGAGAAAGCGATGGAAGCCGTGTTAGAAAACAACATAGCCACTATTGTTAATTCGTGGAAAGTGAGATGATAGAAACTGAGATGAGATAAAATCAAAAGAAGGAGTATTAATTACCACAATCACACTTCATAATAATCTTTACTGTAATAGAAAGAGAATAAGAAAGTTGAGATGGTTTTGAATTGTTTTTAATCTTTATTTTTACCCTTAATTGGTAGGTAACATAAAAATATTTTTGTTTTGATTTTATTTTTTGTATCTATAAATTTGTAAAATAAATATTGAGTATTTTTCTAACAAAATCATGATCAATATTTTAGTGATTAAAATATGATGGTTATAGATAAAGATCGAGAAAATAAGAGGAAGTTTAATTGAAATGACCATTCTATTATTTTATAGCAAAAAAAAGTTAATAAAGATAAAGAAGATCACAACCTCTTGCTGCTTTGAACTTTCGTATTTAAGTATATATAACATGTTTCAGTAAAAAAAGAGAGATCATTTTGATACACTATTTTGAAGTGAAAAATAAATAAATAAAAAAGAAGTTTGGAAAGGAGAAGTCACATGCTCTTGTTATGCCGAAATTTTGCATATAATAAATGGACATTTTGAGAGAGAAAGAAGTTAAAATTCCTTGTTGCATCGAAGTTTTGCAACTAATACATGCACAAATAAGTTATCTCTTTTACGTGTCTCCTCATATTATTGCAATAAAAAAAGTACTCTAATATATAAAAAATAACTGTTTACATTAAAAAAAAATTATAATTACACATATTTTTCTATGAAAATAATAAAGAAAATAAAAAGTATAACGACTAGTGATTCTAATGCCCAATACATAAGTAACTTCATATATTATTTAGATGCTAACTAACATTATGTAAAGGTGAAATGTCATACCCAAAATATGTAATGTATCAAGTGTAATAGAGCATTAATGCCTTAACATGACTCAATTAAATGCAACTTTTATTTAATTTCAATTACCTTACTTTTTATGCTTTGTTATATAATTAATCGAATTGCTTTTGATATGTTAAAACTTACATAAATTACAATATAGCTATCTCATATATATTATATATTGTGCTGTCTCTAAAGTTTTGTTTATAAATTTAAGAAGAGAGAGAATGAAAGAAAAGGGTAACAGAAGAGAGTAAAAAAGAGTTAATAATAAAGTTTAAAAGAACTTAAAAATACAAAATTATGAAAGTTCTAAAGAAATTCTTTTATTTAAAAAAATTCAAATAAAAATAATTATAATATAAATTTTTCTCTTTCTTCATTCTAAAAATTAACTATCAAACAAAATTTAAGTATCATGTAAATAAGTTTTCTTCCAACATAACATTGCACGCAAGAAATCTAGCCACGTACGTCTTATGTTATGAATATCAATGGGTTTTGTTGACATGGTCAATGCATGCATGCTGATAAAGAAACATGCATATCTTCCTTAGGAAAGCGAGATATACTTTAATTTGAGAAAATCTAAATAAGCTGCGTGCAATGTTCCCAGATCATATTCTAACACGATCAGAGACAATCAATCTCCTCCCATTTACAGCATATTCAAGTCCTATGCATCCTAGGAATTTAGCATATTTATCTGTATCATTCCATAAAAATGCACAAACTTTTGGAAAATCGCAGCACATTTCACATTCTCCTACATGTGCAGCTGTGTGGCACCCCCATTTGCTTTTTGTTTTATTTTTCTTTATTAATCAAACACTCCCTAAATTTCAACTCCAGAAATAAAAAATTAAAATCTCTTAACAACTAACAAGCAAAAAAAAAAACAATGCATATATAGCAGCAATTCCTTTCTTCACTATATGGTTCCATTAACACACAGTGTTCCTCTTTAATGGACCCACATAAAATTACAACGTTAATATTATCAATATCTGTAGCATTGTTGCTATCATACGCCACGGCGGTGCGGCAGTGCCGGAAGTGTGGTCCGAACCCGGTTCCTTACCCGTTAAGCACTGCACCCGATTGTGGTGACCCAGGGTACAACATCCGGTGCACCGCGGGTACACTCTGGTTTGATGCACTTGGTGGATCATCCTACATGATCCGGTCCATTGATCCATTAACCCGTCGGATCGTAATCAAACCCGCTGCACTTGCGGGAAGCGCGTGCGTGTCTACGGACTTCCGCAGCGAAGGAATGTACCTAAATGAGACCCTTCTTTTTAGCATTGCCGCAGGCAACACCATATTTCTGTTCAATTGCACTGACAACGCGCCACACGCGCCTCCGATGGACTGTTCGGCAAGTAACCTGTGCCACAGCTACATCACGGACCACGCGAAAGCAGGCGCGTGCGGGCGCGTGAACATTTGCTGCGGGTACAAGACGGGTGGGGTCCTTAAAGAGTATGTGGTCAGGGTACACAGCGGAGGGTGCGCGGCGTATCAGAGTTTCGTGGATTTTAATGCCACGGTGGCGCCACCTGGAACGCGGTGGCCGGAGCCCGGGTTAGGGATTGAGTGGGTGGCACCACAGGAACCGGTTTGTAAGGGGCCAATGGATTGCAACGAATTGTTGAACTCAAAGTGTGGAGTGGGCCCCAGTGGTGGTGTGCAAAGGTGCTTCTGCAATGCTGGCTTTAAGTGGGACTCTATCAATGGTTCGTGTCAACCTCAAATTCAAAGTAAGGCCCAAAGCTATTCTAATGTTATTTGAAAATAAAATAAAATAAAATTTCTCCACTAAAAAAATGTTATTTAGTATATTAGTTGGGTGTATGAGTATATTTTAAAATAAATATTTGGTGATATATTGATATGATTTTAGATATATTATCATTTTATTTTTAAGAATTTGAAATATTTTTATTATTTTGGAGAAAAAGTCAGTTTAGAGAATTATTTTGCATAATTATTTACAAATTATATGGCATATAAATATTCACAAAGTTGTGATCCTGTTGTGAGGAGTTTAGGTCTTGCCACCAAATGCATATTTATTTTAATTTAATTTGAAAAAGAACAATAAGTTATACAAACCTTCGTAATGTAAAAAGGTAATTTATGAGGAAAAATACTACTTATACAAGAAAATATTACAAAAATTATTAAAATTGAAGGAAAAGAAACAGAAAAATATAAAATAAATTGAGTAATGTTACAAAAACAATTAATATGCACATATCATTACATTTTTTAAGAGTTTGAATTGCTCCACGAAATTGTAAATTTATTTTTCCTTATGAAAACTGTAAATACAATGACTGTCATTAATTTCTATCAAACATCTTATTTATTATTTTTTTTAAAGTTTAATATTTTCCAATTAATTAATTAAAGACGCATGCGAAAGTAATTTTGTACTATATAGCATTACTCTTTATAAAAACTACTTATACAAAACTAGTTAAAAGAACCACTTATGAAATATATATGTTTTATATTTCGTTTTCTTGTAGAATAATCAAATCAAAATGCAAAATAAAATGTTTGTTTGAAAAATTAATATTTTTAAAGTTTAATTTTGATATATTATTAATATAAATTGTTTAAACTGTTAATTGAGTAAAAATTATTGTAAGTACAACTTTTCAAATAATCATTACAAATGTCAACGAATTTTTATTATGTCACAAATTATAATTAAATAATAGAATAAAATCAGCGTATTTTGATTAAAATTATATTTGTATTTAAAAATTTTCACAGCATAAAATCATTATCATTTAGCCTTTCATTATTTTAATTTTCATATTGATTTTGGTTAGAATTTTCTAACACTTTCGTGAACGTAGAAGATTCTTTCTTTTTCATTGGTCTTTCAAATTTCCTATATTTTTAATCAGTTTTTCTTTGACAAAAATATAGATTAATTGAAATTGTTTGTTGTTGTTGTTGTTGTTGTTTTATCTTAATCTTATTTCTTCAACATGCAGATACAAAGTGCGCAGGACATGGGAAAGACATCCACTGCAAAGTTCGAAAGAAAAAGAAAATGCTTCTAGCTGGTATGTGTGTATCATATAGGAACTTTGTTTATCTGTTTCTTCTATACTATATGCTATGGCAAGAGTTGAGACCCTTATTGTAAAAGTGTGAAGAAATGAAGGACACAAAGTTACATAACTTATATCGAATTCGACTTTCCTAGTAAAAATGTGCACTCTTTTCGTCTATACTTCAATGAAATAAAACTACAAGAAAGCCAAATTTGATGTAATTAGATTTATGTAACAGTGTTGCCAATGCCCAAATTCAACAAACAATAAGCCACGTTTACTAAGGCTCCTATGTTTCACTCTGTTCTCTTCTTAGATACAAGATTATGCTTTTCCTCTGTTCGGTTCTGTTGATTGAAAATAAATAGAAGAAAAATGTAAAATTCTAATATAAAACAAGAGAAAATTTTGAATTTTTTCCTATAAAAGTTGATTTTCTCCCTTTGTTCTAGATATTTTTTCTTTAATCAAATAAAAGAAAAATATAGCATTATTATTTTCTTTCTTCGCTATTTTTCCTGTCAAATGCAATTTTGTTTATTAACCACTTTGTTTGTGCTCTATTTTCATTTTCATTTTCTGCTGACTACTCTGTTGTTTCAACAGTGGTTGTTGCGTTAGGTGGAATGGTCTCCATTATAACAGTACTAGGAGCCATTTTCTATAAGAAGCATAATCAAGCAAAGATAAAAACCAAGGAGACCAAAATCAAAAGGAGGAAAGAAATCTCAAGTGCCAAAGCCAATGCTTTATCATCAAGAATCTTCACAGGCAGAGAGATAAAGAAGGCAACCAACAATTTCTCCCCAGAAAACCTCATTGGCTCAGGTGGTTTTGGAGAAGTGTTCAAGGGAACATTTGATGATGGAACAACCATTGCCATCAAGCGTGCCAAGCTGGGAAACACCAAAGGCATTGATCAAATGCAAAACGAGGTTCGAATACTTTGCCAAGTGAACCATAGAAGCCTAGTGAGACTCCTTGGTTGTTGCTTAGAACTTGAGCACCCTTTACTAATATATGAATATATCTCTAATGGGACACTCTTTGATTACCTTCATCGCCACTCTTTGGGCACAAGGGAACCTCTCAAATGGCATCAAAGACTCAAAATTGCACACCAAACAGCTGAAGGTCTTTCCTATTTGCATTCTGCAGCTGTTCCACCCATTTACCACCGTGATGTGAAATCAAGCAATATTCTCCTTGATGACAAGCTTGATGCAAAAGTTTCTGACTTTGGGTTATCTAGGCTTGTTGAATTAGCTGAAGAAAATAAAAGCCATATTTTCACGAGTGCTCAGGGAACACTTGGTTATCTAGACCCTGAGTATTACCGTAACTTTCAATTGACAGATAAGAGTGATGTTTATAGCTTTGGGGTGGTGCTGATGGAGCTGCTAACTGCTCAGAAAGCTATTGATTTCAACAGGGAAGAAGAGAATGTGAACTTGGCAGTGTATGCCAAGAAGAAAATGTTTGAAGACATGTTGATGGATGTGGTTGATCCTTTACTTAAAGAGGGTGCTTGCAATTTAGAATTGGAAACTATGAAGTCATTGGGGTATCTTGCAGCTGCGTGCTTGGATGATCAGAGGCAGAAAAGGCCTTCGATGAAAGAAGTTGCAGATGAGATTGAATACCTTATTAAAATTGTTAAAGGTCATGTTTCCAAACCATAAATGTGCCCTTTTTTTTGTCAAAGCTAGTGTGAGTAACGAGCAAAAATGTACCTTGAAAAGGACAGAACTTTTTGGTTTGAAATTTTCCTAGTTGCCCCCTCTGATAATTGCAAGGTTCAGTTATATTAGCAATAGAAACGATGCAGGGGAACACTCTTCTTTCAGAATTTTTAAAAACATTTTACAAATAGTTTTTAAATTCCCCAACAAGGCCGTGTCTTTTAATCTTTCCGGATTCCGTCCACAACTTTTAACAATCTTTTCTCATCTATGCTTACTTAGAATTAGAATTAGAATTAATTTTTTATACAACTAATTCAACACTCATTCGAAATAATTCTAGAAAAAAAAGGTTATTTTCACATATTAGTTCAACATTAGTTCCTGGCTGCTGTTAATTGTGGCAAATGACAAGGCTCACTTAATTTTCATATCTTCTTGTAATTTTTGAACCAAGGGTACAGATTGTTACATCGTTTGTTTTTCCTCCCATGCAATTAAAGAAGTATAGTGTTGCGGGGCTCCAAGAAGTCATTATCGACTTTTTAAGAATAAGGGGTGACGTTGCTAGGGTTCTTGCCTAGCTTCCCTTGTGTGACTAAGTTCCTTGGTGGAGTTTTTGAGTGAAGAAGGAGACCTCGAGGTGGTGTAATCTAGATCTAGGCCATCGCTCCAGTGGTCTTCAAAAGATAGAGCGGGTTGAACTGACAAGAGATCAAAAGAAGAGACAAACTCGATAGATCAAAGTACAAAATATTGACCTGACTACCTCTTTAGAAATGACTCAAGATGTCTTGCAAGAAGATGTTCGTTCTGTAGATCTGAATCCTAACTAGGTGTTTTCTAACATTTTCTTTAATTTTTCTGAAGTCCCGTCCTATAAGGATAAAGTGATAGGGCTCAAAGAGATAGGTCTAGTGCTAAATGTTAAGAATATGCCAAAATCAATACTGGAAGACTGTAATATAATTCCTGAATATGAAGAAAAGGTAAATACTAATAACTTTGTCCAAAATCTTTGTCCTAACCTCAAGATCTCCTTAGAGGATTACAAGGGGTGGTGCAACCTATAGAGGTTTACTCTTATCGTTAAACTTCTAGGTAAATCCATTAGTTTCAACTACCTTAATCAAAGACTAACTAATATCTAAGGAAAAAAATGCGACATTAAAAATCTTTGATTTGAATAATGAGTTCTTTATAATTAAGTTTGAAAGTAATGAGGATTATAATCATGCTTTGTTTGAAGGTCCTTGGATGATTCTTGATTACTACCTTCTAGTTCAGAGGTGGAGACCTTTGTTTAGGGCTAAAGATTACAATCTTAAGAAGATTGTTGTTTAGGTTTGTATTCCTGATCTTCCTATTAAACTTTATAATAATAAATTCTTGTGGCAGGTTGGTGCTTACTTGAGGTCTATGGTAAAAGTAGATTCCTACACTTCCCTTCTTTTTAAGGGAAAGATTGCTAGAATTTGTGTTGGAATAGACCTTAGGAGCAAACTAGTCCCTACTTTTAAGGTTTTAGGACAAGAATTTAAGGTTGAGCATGAAGGATTGCATTTGATTTGCTTTAGTTGTAGTAAGTATGGCTATAGACAGGAGCAATGTATAAAAGATATTGGTCATGATTTCCCTGAGATAGAGAAAGGGGAGAGCAATAATAATAGCTCTATAAACAGTGAAGGGATGTTAGGAAAGAATCTTTATGAAAGAAAGGATATGGTTATAGACTACCCTAAGATTGAGTCTGGGTTAAAGGATGACCATTTTGGTCCTTGGATGTTGGCTTAAAAGCAATTTAGGAAAAAACCTAATTACCCCCAGCCTACTAGATCATAGTCCTCAAGTGGAAAATCTAAAGATCTTCCCTCTAGTTCGAGATTCAATGTCCTAAGTAGATCCTTAGAGACCATTAAACAAGAACCTGAATTCAATACCAAGAAGCAACCTGAAACACCTAAAAGTAAGAGCCTTCCATCTAAGGAACCTGTTCATACTAAGCAACCAATTAAAGATTAAAATCGGCTTAAAAGGAGTGCCATTGTGAGGAAAGAGAATAAATCCAGAACTACTTCTACTGGGGTTAAAGTGGGAATGGATGTAGAGGTTAGTTTTCAAACTAGAAGGCTACTAAGGATAGGAATGCTCAAGATGACCATACTAGTATACCTAATCAAGAAATTAAGGAACACCTTATGTTGATAAATCTGTTTCAGAAAAGCCTACAACAGGATAGGAATTTAGGCCATCGTATACAGGATCTCATTGGCCTAAACTCTAATTTCCTTTGGAAGGATCAGGACACCAGTATCAAATTCCTTCTTGATAAACCACTTGATCCTCCTTTAATAATGAAACTTGATAAAATAGATGACAATGTTAACTCTAAGTCTGAAATTATTTCATTGGATAATAGTAATGCAGGGTTATCCCAGCATCCGGAAGATGCTGCTCACTTCCTTTCTTAAGTTTTTATGAATTGTTTGTTCTGGAACTACAGGGGTGTATAGGGAAAGACTTTTCCTAGACTTATTAATGACTAAATAAAGATCCACAAACTTGACTTTGTTGCTTTATTTAAGCCTAGAATTCATTCCTTTAAGGCGGATATGGTAATTAAAAAATTTAACCTTGATGGCCATGCAAAGATGGATGTTATAGGTTTTTCTGGAAGAATTTAGTGTTGTTTGGATATTAGGAAGATTAGAGTTGATATATTAAAAGGAAAAAAATAGCTATTTTATCTACCTAAAGATTAGAGATAGTCAAAATGACTGGGTTCTCTTTGTTGTCTATGCTAGTTCTGAAGAGAGATTAAGAGCTAAATGTTGGAAGCTTATTTCTAATTTTAGTTCCTTTATTAACTACCCCTGGTGTCTTGCTGAGGATTTCAATTCTATTTTTTTAGAAAATGAGAAATCAAAGGTAGGCCCCCTAATTTAACTCTTATGAGTCAGTTTGATGTCTGCCTCAATGTTTGTGGCCTACATGATTTAGGATTCAAAGGTAACCTTTTTACTTAATATAGAGGATCCATTAAAGAAAGAATTTATAAAGTTGTTACAAATGAGTCTTCGAGATTATTATTTCAGAATAGCTCCCTCATTCACCTCTCTGTTCCTAAGTCTAACCATATGATCTTATGGCTAAAAATTAGGATTAAAGATAGTAGGCATATCTATCATGGGCCTTTTAAATTCTTATCCCCATGGCTGTTTCATGAAGATTTTCATACTCAAGTTAAAAACTCCTGGGTCCTGCTAGGCCTTGGTCTGAGAATGTGATTAGTTTTTATAAGAATATCTCTGATTGGAATGTTAATGTTTTTGGTAACATTTTTAGAAGGATGAAGAGACTGTTAAATAGGATTAGGGGCATTTATTACAAGTTAGTTGTCCAAGATAATCCTTTCCTATATAACCTTATGAAATCCTTGTGGAAAGAGTACCAGGAAATCTTAGATCTTAAGGAGTTATTCTGGCTTCATCACTACAAATCCAACTGGTTGAACTTAGGTGATAGAAATAATAAATTTTTTCATAAAGCTATAATCATTCGTAGACAAAATAGTCAAATTGTATCCCTTAGGAACGAGAACACCTGGAGAAGCTTCAAAGTCTTGCTATAAATTATTTCAGGACCATTTACTCTGATCCTTGCCTTGTGAATAATGCTCTCTTAACTATTTCTAGGTTCCTTTCTCTTAGAGAAGCTGATAGTATGATTATTTACTCTGATCTTTCCTTTGATGAAGTTAAAGCTATTTTTTTCAGTATAGGTAATTTGAAGTTCCTTGACCCTGATGGCATCCATGCTTTATTTTTCAAAAATTAGTGGGAGTTTTTAAGTCCTTTCATCTTTAAATTTGTCTTTGATGTGTTTGCTAATCTTAAAAATATTGTTGAGGTTAATGACACTGTGATTACCTTTATTCCTAATGTTAATAATCATGAACAAATCAAGCAATTTAGGTCTATTTCCCTTTGTAATGTTAGCTATAAAATCATAACTAAATTGCATGCTAACAGAATTAGGAGGGCTATACCCCATATTATACCTACCAATCAGACTAGTTTCATTCTTGGAAGGCAGGAGATTGACAATACCCTTATTTTTCAAGAACTAGTTCATTCCTTCCATAATCTGAAACATAAGCAGGGTTTTATGTTAATTAAAATTGATCTTGAAAAGGCTTATGATAGGCTTAGGTGGAGCTTTATCAATGACACTATTCAAGCTATAGGTTTCAGTCCTAGAATTTCTGAGATTATTAACCAGTATATTTTATCCTCCTTAATGTCTATCAACTAGAATAATAGTACAACTAAATCCTTCAAACCAAACAAAGGTATTAGGCAAGGAACCCTATTTCTCCTTATATATTTGTTATGTGTATTGAAAGACTTACCCATTTGATCCAAGACAAGGTTAATGATAGCAGTTGGGTTCCTTATTCTTTTAGTAATTTAGGTCCTAAAATTTCCTATCTGTTCTTTGAAGATGATATAATTTTGGTAGCTAGAGCTGATAAGCAAAATGTTAAGATTATAAATAATGTGTTAAATAAATTTTACTCTGCCTCAGGTTTATTTATAAATAAGGAAAAGTCCTCTATATACTTTTCTAATAACTGTGATACTAGCCTCTCCTATATTAGTGATCCTGCTAAGTTTAGTAAGTATTTGAGAATTCCTATCAATCCTCTTAAACCCTCTAGACATGAGTTTGCTTTTATAATAGATAAAATCAGGAAGAAACTTTTTGTCTAGAAAATGAATTCCCTATCTATGGCCAGTCGAATTACCCTAGTCCAGTCTTGTATTATAAGTATTCTAAATTATTTTATGCAATTTGTTCTGATTCCTAAAACTAATTGTAAAGAAATTGACACTATTTATAAAAGATTTATCTGGAGATCTCTGAATGATAGAAAATGTCATTTAATTGCTTGAGAGAAAATCTGTAAACCGTGGTCTTGGGTTTAGGAACCTTACTATCGTCAACCAAGCTTTCATAATGAAACTTTGCTAGAGGCTTGTTTCTTTCCCTAATGAACTTTGGTCTCAGGTTTTCTGTAGTAAATACAATTTCTCAGTAGAGAAGGAACCTGTTATTGTTGCTAATCAAAAAGTGTTGCCTCTGTGGAAAGGGATGGTGGTTGTTTATGAGGTGTTCTGTAAAGTCCTGGGTTGGATTTTAGGAAATGGTATGTCTGTGAGAGTTTGGACAGATAGCTGAGTTTTCTTGTAGCAAAATCTATTTAATTTTGCTCTCCATCCCATCCCTAGTGTTGAATTAGAGGATCTTGTTACCCTCTTCACTTATCAGGGTAGGTGGGATTGGAATAAGATTTGTCTTACTCTCCCTACTCAATTTTGTAACCTAATTGATTAGTTTAATCCCTCTGTGATTACTAATGAATAGGATCAAGTTTTTTGGAAACTAACTAATAATGGTATTTTTCTTTTTAAATAAAATATGTATACAACCTTATTTCTATTCATCTGTAGTACAACTAGCCAAATAATCATATTTTTAAACTTTTTTGGGGGTTGGGAAGGTTATCCAAAAATCAATATTTTTATTTGAAAAATTGCCAATGGCAAACTTTTAACTAATTAGGAGCGATTTTATCATAAGATGTCTAATTCCCAGTTGTGCACTAGATGTAATAAGGCACCTGGATCTATTGTTCATGTCCTTAGGGACAGTTGGAGTGCTAACCAAATTTGGGACCATTTTGTTGCGCATGATAAACGGTCTTCATTTTTCAGCCTTGGTCTTTTGAATTGGATCATTATTAATTTGTCCAAACATAATTTCTCTTTGTATCCTTTCTGGAGTAAATTGTTTGGCATAGTTATTTGAAATTTATGGAGAAATGGAAATTGTGTTATTTTTAATAACTCTTCTCTGAATAATGATACATTGCTGAATAAAAATATCTCTGAATTTGATGACTTTCATGCTTATGGCAGGGGCAACCAGAATTCTCTTACTGGATGCAAGGAGTTGCAGAGTATAGTCAAGTGACAGCCTCCTCTGGATCAGCCATTCAAACTAAATTTTGACAAGTCAGTCGTGCGATGTTCTGGAATGGCTAGCTGTGGTGGGCTTATTCGGGATCACCATGGCACCTTTCTGGCTAGCTTCTACCATCTCCTTCCCTCTTATAACCCTATATGTGCTGAACTTTGGAAAATTCTCAAGGGTCTTGAACTTGTCATTCATAAGAATATTAATATTATTTGGGTATAATGTTATTCCAAGGAAGCTATTTCCTTGATTGTTAATATTCAAAGTTGTTAGCATCCTTTGTTTTCTGTAATACATCAAATTAGATTGTTATTTAGAAAAATTAAGTTTGTTAGATTTAATCATGTTTTACGTAAAACTAACTAATGTGCAGATTGATTGGCTAAGTGTGGGCTTAAGGTGGAGAGGCTGTCTTGTAGTTTTAATATAGCTCCCCCTTTCTTTAGAACCTTTTTAAGGCTTGATTCCCTTAGTTCTTCCTAGCTTAGAGCTATAATTTAGGGGTTGTTGTGTTTTTGGGCCTTTGAGCCTTGTTTATAATAATAATAAAAAAAAAATGTATAATGTTAAGAGAGAAATGTAAATAAAAAATTATTTAATCAAAGATTATATAAAATTAAATACCAAAAAATACTAATAATAAAAATTTAGACTTATTTATTAAAGATATAACTTCAAGATAAAATATCATCTTATTCCAACTTTGAATTATGTAATAAATGATAGGCTAGACCTCCCTCTATAATTCATTCTCCTATATCACAACTCTTGATGAAGAAGTTGTGAAGCAACACATACTTATTAGTTACTACCTAATAAAACATATAAATTAACCTTAGTTCCCTTACATAATAGATTTTTGGATTAAGGACTACAATTTAATATATATTAACCAATTACAAGCATTTAAACCTAAACGAACAAATCACTTAAATAAATTATTAAGCTTACTTATGTACCTCATATGCATCATGAATTAGCCTTTTTTTAGTTCACAAAGAATTAATATATAATTCTAACATTTTTTCACTTGAATAAATTAATTGCATAATTAATTTTAAAAAAATTGTTTTCAAAATGACTCTTGGGCAATGATTAATTTTGTAATGTAGCCACATTTTAGAAAATAAATAATCCATGATGCAATATCTAAGGTGATTTTATCCAATCAAAAGACAAATAATATCAAACCATATTTGTCGTAATATCCTTTATTGATATAAGACTTTCCATAGTTACAAATATTATCAACTTTATCGACTAATCATTAATATGAAATATAGCAAAAAATGACATATCAATATGATTCAAAAGCTAAAATATCATTTTTATTTTTTTTTACGTTAGTCCTTGTAATACCAACAATAGTAGAAACATATAGCTGTAAGATAATAGTTCTAGATAACAAGATATCAATATTGAATGATATAGT